GGAAGGGCGCCGCCGCCTGCGAGCGCGGAGGCTTCCGGTGCGGTGGCCCAGCAGCCTTCGAGTGCCCCGGCTCGGGCGCGAGGGAGGCGTGGGGTGCTGGGTGAGAGGGGCAGGGTGTCGGGTTTGGGAGGGCGGCGGCCGTGAGAGTAAAACGGGGGAGGGAGGTGCAAAACAGCGCCCTTTTCGCCTCCGGCACTTTCGGATCTAGTTGGCTGCTCGTAGCCTCCCAACCAGTTCAGGATTAACGTGAAAACCGAAGCCGAGGGAGATTAAGCGTTTTCTCTGAACTCAGCTGTTAAGTGGCTGAGTCAGGATTTGAACCCAGGCCAGACTGTCTTGTTTCCAGGGCCGACGCTGCCCGGCCAGAGGAGACTCGGGCGAGCGCCGCCGAGGGGCTAGGGAGCCCGATCGCCGCGGGAAAGCCTGCACTCGTCCCGCACCCGTTCATTCATGCCTGCGCTCAGCGGTCCATTCATTCGCTCTGAGGAAGCAGTGTTTATTAAGTCCCTGTTGTGTGCCAGGCCCTGTGCTAGGTGATGGAGATGGAAGTACATCCCCGAAGAAGCAAATCCCTGCTCTCAGGGCTTAACGCTGTAGTTCGCGGCAAACCGAGAGCAAGGAAACCAATAAATAGGACACTAGCCGTGATAGGATTGCGGGAAGGACCTCCTGAGCTGGTCACGTTTCAACAGAGACCTGAATGATGCTTAGGAGGTAGTGGGAACAGCATGTACAAAGGCCCTGGGGATGTATATTTACAAATAAATAATAAATCCCAACACGAACCTCTTCTTTTGTCATAAATGATCTGAGAAGCCCTTATATAGAAGTCAAAAGTGAGGCTGAGAAAGGTAAAGGCCCCAAGCCGAGCGGTGGGGGCGCACGCCTGTAATCCCAGCACTCCGGAGGCTGAGGCAGGAGGATCACTGCGAGTTCGAGGCCATCCTGGGCTACAAAGTGAGCTCAAGGTCAGCCTGAACTGCATAGCGAGACCCTGTCTCAAAAAGCCAAAAAAAAAAAAAAAAAAGGTAAAGGTCCCATGAAAGGTCACATGGCTGACCCCCAGCGGAGGAAGGGCCGTCGTTCATGGGACAGCGGCCTCACTGAAGCTCTGCGCTGCTTCCGCTCCGTCGCTGCGGTCGTTTCCCACGTGGGTGACTGGCAGCCTCCGTTCTTCCTACGGCAGTCAGTCCACTCAAAACGCCCTCCTGTTAAAGCCTTTAAATGCTCCCCAGCCCCGATGTACCAAAGTAGGAGTTGAGGAAGCACAGAATTTATCCAGTGAAACCAGGTGGGCAATTCAGTAACTTACAGAGATCCTCTCTCAACAAAAAGGGCTGGGGTGTACCTCAGTGTGAAGCCGCTGGGTTCCACCCACAGTATAGCAAAAAAAGAAAAATATCCCGTGGAGACACACATCAGACCACAGACGGCCTTTTACAGTCTCTCCAGGCCAACACGCAGAAACCAGGTTTCTCCAGGCCGCCGTGCTCACAGGCCCTGCACAGGGGCTGGGACTGGGATGGGGCAGGCGAGGTCCGGGACGTGAAACACCCAGCGGGTTCAGCCAGGTCCAACTTTGAGCTTGCAGCACCCTGCGAGTGCCAAGCACCCCCACCTCGCCTTGGCACTGCCACTGCCCGGGGCATGCTGCACCCTTCGTACACGCCGGCACTTTACAAGGCCTCTGGAGCACTCTGCCCTCTCCTGCCCACGCTGTTCCCACCCACCCTTCTCAGATCCAGCACCACCCTCTCAGGGACGTCCTCTCCGATTTGTGCAGCCAGCTCAGTTTCAGCTCTGCTTGGCTCCAGGGTGCCAGGTGTTCTTCCTTCCCAGCCACGCGGTGCAGCCTGATGTTATTTTGTGTATCACGTGACACAAAATTTGCCTTGGGAAGCACCGAAAATACCTGCCTGGACACTGGCTCACTGTAAAGCATCAGTAGGAGTGGAAACATTTATACTCCATAGGTAGATTCACTTCTAAACTGAAAATTTCCAAGCTCAAGACTTTCTTTGCCACTCACTTTGCTATGTGACTTCAAGTAGGAGATGAAATGTTCCAGGCATGAGTTTCCCTTCTGAAAAGGGAGAGGATAGCGCAGACCTGAGACTTGCTATAGAGATAAAATATTTTGATAAAATCTCTTGGCACATGGAGGAGGGACACCAGAAAAGCTGACATTTGCCAAGCCATTATATCCAGCTCCCGATTAGATGGAGCCCTTCTTAAGACTATGCCCATTTTACCTCCTTTTTTAAATACAAGGTCTTACTACATCCTCCAGGTTGACCTCGAACTAGAAATCTTCCTGCCTCAGCCTCCAAAGTGCTGGAATTACAGGTGTGTACCACTGCAGCAGGCTGGAATATCCCTGTTTTATTTATTTAAAAAAAATTTTTTTTTTTTTTGGTCTTTTTGAGACAGGGTCTTGCTATGCAGTTCAGGCTGGGCTTGAGCTCACTTTGTAGCCCAGGCTGGCCTCGAACTCACAACGATCCTCCTGCCTCAGCCTCCCAAGTGCTGGGATTACAGGTGTGTGCCACCATTCCCGGCCCCGTTTTAAAGATAAGAAAACAGGCCAACCCACTTCCGGGTCCCTCCCATCCCTCAGAAGCTATCTCTCTCAATAAATTTACTCTTAACCTCCATTGTTCCTAGAATTCATTCTTCAGTTTCAGGGAACATGAACTTGGTGTATCTGACATCTCACAGGTTGATAGCTATGCTTCTCCCCTATATCATTTTGGAAGCCCCAGCAACATAATTGGAAGGAGATGGGAACCTCAATGTCGAATTCTTACTCCTTTCGAATGTATTCTCAAGCACTGGAATTTGTTTGACCCTCACATATTGAGAAGGAGTTGTATAATATTTTTCTGCACCCGCCCAGGGCCTCTCTACCCCCTAGAGACAAAGTGGAATGCAGAAGGAAGTAATGATTATGATACTATTTCACAGCTAGAATTGTACTGTGAGAGAAAGGGAATATGGCCAGAATCACCTTATGTTCAGACTTCCTTTGCATTATTTTTGTTTGTTTGCTTGTTTTTGTTTTTCTTCCAGTACCAGGAATCGAACTCATGACCTTGCGCTTGCCAGGTAGGCGCTTTGCCACTGAGCTAAATCCCCAGCCCCCACTTCCTTTGCATTAAGAGACAATCCTTATTTGTGTTCAAAGTGTAGTGTAAGCCACAGGAAAACCAGACACCTCTGGCCTTTAAGGGGGCCTGATGCATCTGCTATTCCTGAGCCCGAGGTCCCCTCCGTTGCCCTCTGGATCCTAAGGACAAGGTTTCCAAGCCAACTTTCATTGAAACCTGTCCTAGGCTGTAGCCATCCTTAACTGATTTCCTTCAAGTTCCTCAAGCACAGTATCCCTTACAGGAGGTGAGTGGAGAATTTAGCTCTACCTGTGTCCATGTGTCCTTACATTGGGAGATGAATATCATATTTTTAATTTTAGAAGGCCAAAAGGTAGTGGAACAGCTGGTTCCTACTGGAGCTCAGGGAGTCCCTACGCAAGACCCCTACTGGCCCACCAACCAGATGGGAGATTGGAATAGGAATATCTTCAGACATGTATTCTTGAAGATCTAAGAAGGACGAGAACCAGGCCCTTTAATTTAAATTGTCAACTATTCATCAGGAGAAAGATGAGAACCCCTCTGACTCCTTAGATGATTTACAGGAGGCCTTGAAAAGACATGCATCCCTGGCTCCTAATTCAGGAGAAGGACAGATTGTTCTTAAAGACAAGTTTACTAACCAAGTGTGATTGCACACACCTGTAATTCCAGCACTTGGGAGGCTGAGGCAGGAGGATTGCCTCAAGTTTGAGACCAGCCTGAAGACTGAAGAACATAGTGAGACCCTGCCTCAAAAAAAAGAGTTTATTACTTAGTCAGCCTCAGATATTTATTTATTTATTTATTTTTGGGGGAGTACCAGGAGTTGAACTCAGGACCTTATCCTTGCCAGGCAGGCATTTATGCCACTGAGCCATATCCCAGGCCCCAGCCTCAGATAAAAGGAAGAAGCTACAAAAGATGGTTTTGCTCCATATAGCTCACTTGATACTTAAATGGGACGAGGAAGAGGCCAAAGGGAGAAAACAGAGACCAAGAGAAAGTGGCTGCCTTGGTTGTGTCCTTAAAAGGAATAAACTCTAACTCAGACTCCTGGGGCTCCAAGAAGAGCTCAATGACTAAACTTACCTGCTACCGCTTCGGAAAGCCAGGCTACCTTAAGGACTGTCATGATAAGAGGATCACCCTGAGCCGTGCCCTAAGGGCAAAGGTGGCCACTCGAAGTTGGACTGCCCCTTGAGATGGAGGTCCAAGGGATCAGACCCATCTTCCCAGCTGGTCCAGCATAACTGAAGGGGTGGGGGGCATGCCTTCTCCTTCTGCCTGGACTGTCATCTGCACAGAGGAGCCCTGGTAATCATGACTATACCGGGAAAAGAAACCAGCTTGTCTCTGGACACTGGTATGAGTCTCTCAGTTCTTCTTTTCAGTAAAAAGAGTCATTGGGGAAGAGGAATCCCACTATTTCTCACAACCCTTAGGCTGTAACTGGGATGGCTTTCTTTTTTCCCGTTCTTTTTTGTTTTGTTTTGTTTTTGTCTTTTTTGTATTTTTGAGACAGGGTCTCACTATGCAGTTCAGGCTGGCCCTGAGCTCACTTTGTAGCCCAGGCTGGTCTCGAGCTCACAACCATCTTCCTGCCTCAGCCTCCCAAGTGCTGGGATTACAGGTGTGCGCCACCACGTCTGGCTCCCATTCTTTTTGAATTATGCCCTAAATTCCAGTTCCCCTCCTGG